CTGATTTTATTAATTTGGGTCGTCTCTCTCTTTTTCTTGGTGAGTCTGGCTAAGGGTTTGTCGATTTTGTTTATCTTTTCAAAAAACCTGCTCTTGGTTTCATTGATCTTTTGTATTGTTTTTTGGTCTCTATTTCATTTATTTCTGCTCTGGTCTTTATTATTTCTTTCTTTGTACTCTCTTTGGGCTTGTTTTGCTGTTCTTTCTCCAGTTCCCTTAGGTGTAAAGATAGTCTGTTAATATGAGATTGTTCTTGTTTCTTTAGATAAGCCATCATTGCTATTAATTTTCCTCTTAGGACTGCTTTTGCTTCATCCCATAGATTTTGAGTTGTTGTGTTTTCATTGTCGTTTGTCTTGAGATAGCTTTTGATTTCTTCCTTCATCTCAGTTTGACCCAGTCGCTATTTAGTAGCATGTTATTCAGCCTCCATGTATTTGTGTGCTTTCCAGGTTTCTTTTTATAATTGATTTCTAGTTTCACAGCATTGTGGTCAGAGAAGACGCTTGATATGATTTCAATTTTCTTAAATTTATTGAGACTGGTTTTGTGTCCTAACATGTGGTCTATCTTGGAGAATGTTCCCTGTGCACTTGAGAAGAACGTATATTCTTTTGTTTTGGGGTGAAATGCTCTAAAAAATCAATTAAATCCAGCTGGTCTAAAGTGTCATTTAAGGCCACTGTTTCCACATTGATTTTCTGTCTGGAGGATCTGTCCATTGGTGACAACGGGTGTTGACGTCCCTACTACGATAGTGTTGCTGTTGATCTCTGTCTTTATGTCTGTCAAAATCTGTTTTATATATTTAGGACCTCCTATGTTAGGTGCATAGATGTTTACTAGGGTTATGTCCTCTTGTTGAATCGATCCTCTTATTATTATGTAGTGTCCTTTGTCTTTTATTGTAGTCTTCATTTTAAAATCTATTTTGTCTGAAATAAAGTATTGCTACTCCAGCTTTTTTCTCATTTCCATTTGCGTGAAATATCTTACTCCATTCCTTTACTTTCAGTCTGTGTATGTCTTTTGATCTGAGTCTCTTGTAAACAGCATATGCATGGGTCTTGTTTTCTCATCCACTCAGCCACTCTATGTCTTTTGATTGGAGTATTTAATCCATTCACATTTAAAGTGATTATTGATAGGTGCATATTTATTGCCATTTTGTTATTTGTATTTCTGATCTTCCCGTGTTAGCTTGTCTTCCCCTTTCTTCTGTTTACAAAAGCCCTTTTAACATTTCCTGCAATGCTGGCTTGGTGGTAATGAATTCCTTAACTTATTCTTTTCTGAGAAGCTCTTTATCTTTCCTTCAATTTTAAGTGATAGCTGTGCTGGGTCGAGCAATCTTGGTTGTAGGCCTTCATTTTGCATCACTTCGAATATTTCCTGCCACTCCCTTTTGGCCTGCAGACTTTGTGTAGGAAAGTCAGCTGTTAGTCTTATAGGAGTTCCTTTGTATATAACCTGCTGTCTTTCGCTTGCTGCTTTTAGGATTCTGTCTTTGTCTTTAACCTTTGCCATTTAACTATGACGTGTCTTGGTGTGGACCTGACTGGTTCAGCTTGTTTGGAACTCTGCATTCCTGGGCTTGTGTAGATTTCCTTCACCAGGGTAGGGAAGTTTTCAGTCATTATTTCTTCAAATACATTTTCAATCCCTTGCTTCTTCTCTTCTCCTTCTGGTATTCCTATCATGTGAATGTTGTTGCACTTGATGTTGTCCCACAGGTCTTTTAAGCTGTTTTCATTGTTTTTTATTCTTTTTTTCTTTTTGTTATACCAATTAGGTGATTTCTGCTATTTTGTCCTCTAAATCACTGGTGTGATCCTCTGCTTCATCTAATTTACTGGTGATTCCTTCGAGTGTGTTCTTCATTTCAGTTATTGTAATCTTTAGTTTTAACTGGTTGTTTTTTATGATTTCTGCATCCTTCTTTATGTCCTCCCTAAGTTCCTCTTTTTTATTATTTTTTAAAAAGATTTTTATTGGGCAATTGGATCAGCGCTGGGGAATTGGGTGAAGGGGAACAGACAAGTTGCTGTCCTTTTGTTTTTCAGTCTAGTTGTGGAGGACGTTGCTTCACTGGCCCAAGTTGGCACCATCATTGCGCTCTTCCCGGGTGAGGCAGATCAGTCGCCGGCTTCTGGACGGCCGCTCACTGTGGCTGCTGGCTGCTGGCTACACACGGTAGCCCATGGCAACCCACTGCCGCAGGGGTTGCAGCCAACACCATCTCTGGCTCACGGCAGCCCAGCTCCAGGTTGAGCTGTTGTTCAACATCTTAGTTGTAGAGGGCAGTTTCACTGGCCCTCATATGTGGGATCCAAACTGGGGTCTCGGGCTTCCTTAAGTCAGCTCTTAACCAATGCGCCACTCGGCCAGCCCTCCTTAGACATTCTTATCATCCTTGTTCTAAACTCTGTCTCTGATAGGTTGGATACCTCTGTTTCATCTAGTTCCATTTCTAGAGGTTTTTTCTGATCTTTTACTTGGGACGTTTCTTTGTTTCTTCATTATGGCTGTCGCTCTGTGATTGCTTCGATGTATTAGATAGGTCACCTAGAAAGAAAAAAGAAAAAGAAAAGAGAAAAAGAAGAAAAGAAAAAAGAAAAAAGGAGGGATACTCTCTGCTCGCTTTATCTGCAGACCACTTGCTCAGCAATAGAGAGACTCTGGGCGACTCAGCATCAGCTGTTGAGGGGAAGGGCTCAGTGTGTCATGTGCCGACCTCCCTCTAGACTTGAAGTGAGCTTCACAATTAGCTGCTGTGTGATCTGGAGCTGTGCTCACCACCAAATATCCTCACAGGTTGTTGCAGGCTGTCTGCAAAAAACCCTCTGTGGCCTGTGGAGGTAGGAACCAAGCACTAGGGGCTCAGGGTGCCCCTGGCAACACAGCTCTAAGTGGGCTGAGCAGGCACCCAACGCACCACAGTATGTGGTCAGTTGACCCTACCAAGTCAGAGCAGCATGCACTCCTGCATCGGCAACCAGCCCGCACTCGCCAGGAAATCCCTGGCCAAATCACACAGGTGCACAGCTCACGGCCCTACACTCCCAGGAAAACTCCCAGTCTCAGCCTGTCCCAATCAGCTGCTAGCAGATTAGGCAGAGCAGCCCAACAGCCAATCAGACCCGAGTCTCTGTGGGAAGGCCCAGTTGAAAAAATGGCATCCTCCTGTGCACTGCTCGTGTGCAAGCTCCACACCAGGGGAACAATGGTCCCAAAACCTCCAGCGTCTGCGCCAAAGGCACTCAGTTCAGTTCTTCCCCGCAGGCTCCTGGGCCCCGCTCACACAGCTACTCCCTCCACCAGGAACCAGGTGAGTGCTCACCAGCGAGCTAATCCGTTTGCCGGCTCCACTGGTTCTCCAGCTGCCCTCAGCCTCACCGAGTTGAGCAAAGAGCGTCCTCACTAATTTCTACTTCCAGCTATCGTAGATTCTTCTTCCCGGTAAAGTAACTCTGGGCTGGTGAGCGCAGTGTGGGGCCGGATAATCTCTCCCCAAACTGGAGAAGCCTCCCCACTGCTGAGGTGTCCCTCACGGGGTTCGCCGTCTCTCATCTCTGCCCCTCCTACCAGACTCGACGTGGCCTCCTCTTTAAGTCCTTTGTTTAGAGGTTCTGCTCATCTTGGGTCCAGGGAACTTCCAAGGTTGAATATCTTATTAATTATTTGTAATTTTGGTGTGATCCTGGGAGGCAGTCGGCACAGCGTCTGTCTATTCCGCCATCTTACCGGAAGTCCCCGGCTTTTACACTTATTGATACTGGTTGAAGCTACTGTCTATTTTGGAACTTCCCAGGCACATAAAAATACATTTTCCAGACAGCTAAATCTAAGAACCTTCAGAGAAGACAGCATGTAAAAACTCTCTATAAAAAACTTCTGTGACAGAGCAAAAGGAAAACATTTAAGGTGTTTTAACTTATTTTTAATATTAATAATTACATTTTCAAAAATGATATAGTTCACATGTAAAGATACAGTACTGTAAATCCATAGGTTACAGTAGGAAATGTGTTAACAGCCTATATACACTTTGCACTGTTGATACAATTTTATACACATAAACCTACATATAATGACCTTCAGAGAAAATACCTACAAACCCACTGTCTAGACAGTAGACAACAGTTTTAAAAATGAACCAAAATAAAATGATTCCCACATCCCAGCGGCATGTTGTGGAAATGCATGTGTGTGAAGACTGAGTCTGAGTCTTGATTACACGGAAGATACTCAGCTTTGCTGCATGCCGGCCATGAGTGACAGGGCTAGAGATTCCACTGTGGGAAGAATAAAAAGTAAAAAACAGGTGTAAACATTTGAAAATGTCTGAATAAGGCTTTAAGAAATTTAAAACTTTATAGAGTATTTACAGATATTTTCCATTTTTGATTAAAATACTGAATATTTTAATGTATAATAAAGACGACAATCTTAATTAAGTACAAACAGAAAGTGTATGATTTATTTCTATTTCAGGTAATTTGAATTTTGAAAACAAAATCTGGGTATTTCACTGTGTCAATGACATTCGTTCCACATATCCTAAAACCCAGAGTCCGTTCATAACAAATGCCATGTCCTAACCTGCAACTGGAACCTACCTGCATAACTGTCACCCAGTTCCACAGGTGAGTGCCACAGTGTTTCCTCTAACCCATTTCCTACACGGTATTTAAGAATGTTCGGCTATTCTTACTGAGCATATCACAACTCGAATAAGCAGAAACGGGGAAGAGTTTACCTGCATACTTTTCCCCAAAAAGCTGCATAGAGAGCTCCTACTTAATCCTTGTTTCTGCAGATTAAACAGTTCTCCTCTCCCATGACTCACCCCACAGACTTCTGCCTGCTCACAGTGTTTGTCAGGAAGCCTTGGACGTTTTAAAACTGCTAAAGAAGACTATACTTTCAGGGATCATTTTTATAGTTTGTTACAACTGCTAAAAGAAAATCCTCTATCTTTTTAAAAGAATAGTTACAAAGGCTACCTATGATAGGAAAGCGCCGCTGAAATTATTCTGCCTGTTTTATTTACTAATAGTTTAAAAAACCATGGGTGTAAGACGTGATATGGTATAAGACGTGATATACTAGAAAACATGGTCTTTAGTCTCAGCGTTTCACATTTGATATTCACTAGCCCCATAGTAATTTTGAAAACACAATTCAAAGCATGGCACAACTACTGAGGGACTTCACAGGTGTGAAATGGTGAAAAGTCTAACTCATGAGATCAGTACCGAAACAGCAGCATGCAGTCTTAGCACAAGAAAATGTAGGAGCACAAACACTTTAACATGGTGTACTCACAGTGGGGAAAGGATCCTCTACAGACAGCTTTGTTTAAAATGGTTACAAGAAACATATGGCAGTTTTTAAAATCAGACTCCATTTTCTCTATAGACTCCAGCCTAGGGAAGAAAGTAAATTTCAATTCAAGTCAGTGCATAAGGGGTTAACAGATAGGACCCCAAGATATCTCTGGAGCAATTTCAAATGTACCTCAATTTAATTATTTAGAATCCTAAGTATAAAGACTGTAAAATAAAAATTGTCCTGCCCTACTTTAAAATAAAACTTTGACACTGTCTGAAGAAGTGTCATTATGATATACAACCACTGTTTGAGTTCTAGAGCTGGGGTAGCTGGGGATATTTCCTTTTGTACTATTCAGTTCTGTATTTTTACTTTTCACAAGCATGTCTTCTTATCGAAATAATACATATAACTCTAAGTTTAAAAACTTTTCATTATGGAAAACCTGAAGGAGAGAACTACCCCGTGGACTTCCACGAACCCACCCCACACAGCCCGATGTCCACCCCAGCCCTGCATTGTCAGAAGCAAATTTGAGACATCACAGCATTTCAGACATAAATATTTCAGTGTGTATAAAGACTTTTTATAACACAGCCATAATACCACTTGCTTAAAAACACCTAATGATTTTTTAACATCATCAAATAACTAGTCAGTGTTCAAATTTCACATTGCTTTCCAGTTTTTCACTTTTCTGCTTTGACTTTGAACCAGGATCAATTAATTTCCATAAACTGCAATGGTTGATATGCTTCTAAGTCCTCTCCTCCTCATCTAGCGTGATGTCCAGCGAGTGGGCTGGGCAGTAAACACAAACCAGGATGGGTTATTGCTGGGGTTCGCTGAAGTGGAGTGATGGGCTCCTGGGGTTCGTTATGCTGGTTTTAAATCATTATCTAGTCCTGTGTATGTTTTAAAGCATCCATAATAAAAATTTAACAAAACCTACATAAAATATGAACGTAATCCAAGGGTATTTGCTTGTACTCATTAATAAAGACTTCATATTTTTCCTATTGTCTTGCCGCTCATGAAAGAATTGCACAATTCCTGATGCTGCCTAGTTTAAGTAAACAGATTCTTCAATTCTTCCATAAATAGTATGTGATGTGTCACCAAGACAACAAAAAGGCTCCCAGAAAGAAGCCAGCTAAAAGGGAGTCTGGGCCACTCACAGCATAGGCTCCACAAGCCACATACTTACTGCCATGCCCCCAGGCCTGCCTGCCAGCCATCCGCAAACATGAGAGCCAAGTTCAACACCTTCATGATGGCTTCTTTCACAAAGCTGACCTGAAGAGCAAAGCCACAGACAGAACACAGGCGCTGTAACTGTGCTTGGACACCGACATGAAAACTTTTACCTCATAGAAATGAGTCATAGAAAAAGCTCATTGTGCAATGACTGCCTTCTGTGTGCAAGAAAGGCACCTGGCTCTGAACAAAATGCACTTGGAATTGGGCCACACCTACTGTGCTAGGGACATACGTGGTGTCAGCAGCACAGTCCAACCAACAGCGACCATTTCCTGGGACGGCCATTTAAATCCACCAGTGACCTGGGACACATAATGCCAGAGGCTGTTACATGACTTAACCCCACATAGTCATACTGAGGTGGACACACTTCCTGACTGAAGCTCTATCATTCCACAACTGCAGATAAAATTTTCCAACTGAATCCAAGTGCAGTACAGATGGAGGGCAGGCTGGTAATACTGTTCTCACCTGCTTCTCATAGATATAATTTCTGGTATTATGGCACAAATTTGTAACCTCATCTGATCTGATCTTTCCTTACAGCGAAGCTTAGTTAAGGATAAAATTCCAAAGCAGACAGACAACCTCCCTTGGACAGTTTCATTCCTGCCTCCGGGGCCAAATCTGCAGGTGACATTTACCTTTTCTCTCAGCAGACATCGATCATGGATGGTTGACAAATACCTATAGTGAATTTTAATCAATTGATCTAAATCCTTGGCTTCCTGGATTTGATGCTGAAACTCCAGTCCTGTACTATGAAGAATCTTGGAAGAGAAAGATGAAAAGTTTGGTTGGATTTCTTCTTTGAGAACTTGTGTGCCACACACAAAACTTTTTACCAACCTCTTCTGCTCCTCCCAAATTTTGCCTCTGATAATTACATCTGCAAAGTTTATAAAGTACTTCTATTTAAAGGCTGGCGTTATCCTGGAATGGTGACAGGCCCCGTCGCTCAGGACACCCACTCGCACAGTGAACGAGTGCACCCTCAGGACTTAGAGCGTTCCTGATGGGCTGGGGCAAGTATATCAAACCACATAGAAAATGCATTGACCGGTTTTTAAATAAATCATCAGGTAAATTGAATTTACATGTCTTTATAAGTTCTTTAAAGGGAGCATAAATGTATTTCAAATAGAGAACAAATTAAGCAAAAACTTGAAACTCCTACCACCTACTCTCAACAATTGAAGGCTTACAGCCGGTCCCCTGAAGGCCACGAATGCAGTTGCAGGAGGCAGACAGCAGTGTGCCTCAGGCACCAAGTCCAAAACACGGGCTAGAAGGGCTCACTTCATCCAAACGAACTGGATTTTAGAGCCTGTATACCAGATGGACTATCCATGTTTTGGGCAACCATTTCCAACCCCAAGTGAGTACTGTCCTCCAGTAACACTGCTGCTGTTCAAATAGCTGAACTCTTTCAGAACTTCCCCTAGATCTGGTTTTAAGATGTGTTAAGAAAAATTTACTTGTAATGAGTTACTTCTTGTTTTCAAGAAAAAAGTATGTAATCTGGCTGCATCTTCCTCCTTACATACCACACCAGCCTGACAGATCTGGGCTGCTGCTGGGGACAGCTGTCACCAATGACCAAACTCAGAAGGACTGCGTGCCAAGCTCTGAAGGCAATTCCAGAGCAGAAGCATGGCTGTACCCGCCCTGGGGCTGGGGACAGGGGAGCAGCGGTCTCTGGGCCCTGGCATGTTCAAAACACCTGCCCGCCACACTGCCATGCTGTCTCCTGACCAAATTTCACAGCTATAGTCTTGTAAGGTTTGTGTGGGTGCCTCTGCATCTATGGCTCTGCCACAGGCGCCACGGCAGAGGCAGGGGACACACGGACCCTGGTCATAATGTAGTTGTGTAAGCTGTTCACGAAGTGCATGAGCTTCACTCTTAAGAGGAACAGACGATGAGTCTGCTGTGTCACCAGTTTCTTCTGTGGGCCAGATGGGGCCACCGCGTCCTGTTCACATAAAAGTCCTTCCTTCAGCTGTGGTTTCTCAGCAGTACCAGTCAGTTCTGTAAAAGATCACAGAGTAGAGTGGGTGGGGAGTGCTCACACCGACCCCACCACTGCACGGCGGGCCTTCCCACAGCATGGTCACCAGCCCCACAAAGGGCACCTGCCAGATGCGCACCAGGGACCCCACCTCCAGTGGCTCTAGAAGGTGAGATCCTGAAAAGTTCCCTATATCACCTTGGTTATTGCCATCATCAAAAATGTAAACGCGGACCGGACGAGTGGTACATTGGTTAAGAGCTGGCTTGGGATGCCAGCTCTGAGCAGCAGGGCCCCGGTTCGGATCCCACATGAGAGCCACTGACACTGTCCTCTAGAGCCAAAATGGTGAACAACAGCTCGACCTGGAGCTGGGCTGCTGTGAGTACCAGTGATGGCGTAGGCTGCAGTGGGCTGCCATGAGCTACCGTGTGTGGCCGCCAGCCAGCGTGAGCGGCCGGCAGCCAATGTGAGCTGCCAAGAGCCTCCGTGAACGGCCATCCAGAGGCCGGTGACCTATCTGCCTCAACCGGAAAGAGCGCAATGATATCAACATGGGCCAGTGAAGCAACGTCCTCCACAACTAGACTGAAGAACAAAAGGGCAGCAACTTGTCTGTTCCCCTTCCCCCAATTCCCCAGCGCT